GGAACTCACTTAGGTATGATTCCCCCTAGCCACTAGCCAGACTAACGATTGATGATTTCCAACTTGTTTCATTTTCATTCACAATGCGGAGAATCCTTGACTAGACCTTGAGTCTCGACTAAAGGAACAAGGCCCTCTTGAGTCAATTGCCTAGAGGGACGTATCCTTCTCTAGAACAAGTGATCAAGGCGTTCTGAACTAGACTCCCTCTATCGAATGAGGTTCTCAATCGATACAAAGCAGTGAATCAACCCTCGACTAAAGCAATCGATCCACTACTATCAATCTATGGTGCTCTATTGACCTAATCAGGTATTCCCTCTCATAGGATCAAAGCAGAATCAATAATCTCGACTAAAGCAGAATTGAATCATGAAAACATGCATAGATTGAATATGAACTCAAGATTATCAAGTCAGAGTACTCATACAATCATCCAATCAAACAAACATAGCTAGGGTTCCACAAAACCTAAGTAAAGGGAAGTTACTCCATAGAGAAGAAAGAGACTGCAGTAAGAATCTTCAGATGATCAGTCTTCAAGTTCGGGCTTGTTCCTCGAGCTTCCAAGGCGAAGAAATCCTCCAATTCCACTCTTAGAATGCCCTCAGATCGCCCTTTCTCTCTTTGGTTCGTCCCTTGGGTGTTTGGGATCCAAAACCCAGCTCTCCCCTTTCCTTTGGCTGAAAATCGGGTTTTAACCAGCAATTCCCGACTCACACGGGCAGGCCGCACGGCCGTGCAGCTCACCCAGTTGCCCGTGCGAGTCAAAACGCAGCGTATCGATTAGTTGAATTCCAGGCTTCTTACACGGCCAGGGTCGCACGGCCGTGCAGCTCACCTTGCACGGCCGTGTGGATTTTCCAGCTTGCCCGTGTTTGCTCTCGCACAATCCCACACGGCCAAACTGGTCATTTGCACGGCCGTGCAGGTTTTGGATGTGCCCGTGCGACTTTCTTTGTGACTTGCCTCGCGCCCGATATTCACCCAATCGACCCCGAACTCGCTCCTAAACCTTCATTCACTTGCCAGGACCTGAAATATCACAAACATGCACAACCTAGCGTGAAATCGGTCTAAAACACGAGAAACCACATCTCAAACGGTGTAAGAAAAGGGGTGAAAACATGTGTAATTAACGGTCTATCACAGCCATCCGGGACTGGTACTCGGCATGGTGTGCCGAATACTGCTGCTGAAACTGCATCTGATAGTCATAGAGCTGCTGGTTCTGGAGACGCAGCTGCTCGAACTGCTGAGTGAAGTAGTCATGGCCTGGGAAGCTGGAACTACCACCCCCGTACTCGAAGGTGGTGGGGCGGGCGGCAGCAGTATCATCCACATCCTCCGGCTGGACCTCCTCATCAGCCGCACCCTCGGGAGCCTCCGGCTGGACCGCCTCTGGGATCTGAGGTTGAGGAAACCCCTCGATCCACATAACACCACGCTGTTCTCGAAGCAGGTGCATCTTTTGATCGTAAACCGGCCAAAGGGAGTGGTGTCTCCCTGCTCAGTGCACCCCTGCAGGGGTATCTGGAAGTAGTCTGCCAGGCGGGTGATGAGGGGAGTGCAATGGAGTTTCTTCAGCTCAGAAGAACTCTTCTCGAAGGTCCTCGCCACCACCGAACCCAAGTGGAGCGGGTGATCCCTCCGGCGCATCGACTGGATAAGGTACATGGCTCTCTTGGTAATGGCGCTGGCACTGTTGGAGGCTGGAGTGTAAGACTTGGCCAGCATGTGATGGAGGATGCGATTGTCGAGCTGCAATGTGCTGGCCTTCGTCTTTCCCGCCTTGAAGGGAAGCTGACGGGGTCGAGCGAGGTTGAAGTACATTGTCCCGAAGTCCACCCCCGCTGGCTCGGTGCTCTCGGTGATGAAGTCTCTGTGACCAGGTTGAGGCCGAGAGCATTTGCCAGCTCGTGGTAGCTCATGGATCGTGGTTCACCGGCGAGCCAGAACTTGACGGCTTCACCGTCCTTCCAGTCCTCCGTGTTTGCGTGCTCGAAGGTGGTGTAGAACTCGAGCACGAGCTCGTGGTACACCTTCTCTCGAATGCTGAGTAGGCGGCGCCAGTAGCGGTTGGTGACAACGGGGGAGAGGTGCTCGTAGCAGTTCAGCTGCTGCAACTCTCGCTTGGACCAGCAATGATGCTGCCCAAACTTGCAGGCCAGGACGTTCTTAAACCGCTCCTGGTGGGGCCCTCTTCTCAAATCCTGAACAAACTGGTGCCGGAGGTTGGGCTTCGACATGGTCCTGCAAAAGAACAACCCAAAGTGGAACCAAAAGAGCCAAGGAAAATGTTAATCACACCCCCACACTTAAAAACAGAAAACAGCCTAACCATGGTTTCATCCATAGTTTGGGGGTCAAAAACTCGATAAATCAAGCATAATCTGAGTGGGGGTGCACATCCATGAACAAGTAGGCTCAAAGTTCACATCCATACCAAACCCACCCCCAAAGCACATCATTAAGGGTCCCAACCGACTCCCACAAAATGGTACGAAAACAGGCATTTCATCGAACACCTTGTGTGCACTATTAAGATAATCATAGAATTGACAAAATTCTTGCACACAAGGGCTCAATCAAGCAAGGGGGACAATGCCCAACACAATTCATACATAATCCAAGCATTCCCCTCAATCAATTGCACAAAATTCTCACGATTCAAAGAGGTTCTCTAAACATGCACCCTAACACCCAATTCTCCATAGAAAACATAGTTAAAGTCAAAATCAAACCTGGAGACTCAAGTAGAGGTGTAAGGGATGATGAGGGGAATGCAATGGAAGCGACGAAAGGCCAAAAAACTGCCCGGAAGTGCTCGTCGGAGCCTCGCCGGAGTCTCGCCAAAAATCGCCTCCGGCGACTCAAAATCAAAACCAATCACCTCAAAATTGAGGGATAGGCCGATAATGGGGAAGAAAGGGTGGGTGTGGTGTTGGATTTGTGAAAAACCGACCAAAAATGGCCGAAAATCGACAAGGAGGGTGAAAAGGCGCGGTTTTCCGGCGAGGGGGAGAGGTTTTCGGCGAGTGAATTTGGGTTTTCTGACCACTCGGCCGTGTCGGCCGAATTTATAGGCCGTGTCTCGGCCACACGGCCGTGTGACCTGCACATTTGCCCGTGTTGGCCGACACGGGCTGGCCGAGGATTTTCACTCGGCCGTGTCAAGTGCACATTTGGCCGTTGTCGCAACCGCCCCTCCGAGATCGGGGTACCCGTCACGAACGATCGGAGTCGCCATCGACCTTAATTTGTGGTGGATCGAACACCTTTGGTCCGGTCTCGACCTTAGGGTCGAAACCGGTATCTGGTCTGCGAATTTTGAGATTTTGGGTTCGGGAGTACAGTTACGTGTGGGGAAGTGTATTCACACCCCACAACGCCCCAGGATGGGTACTACTTAAATCGATAAGTTTTTAAGGGTTTGGTGTATTATTATTTGCGGCTTTATTAATGTATTTAATTTAATGATTTGATTAATTAGATAGTTATTAATATTTGATCATACGTCTATTGACGTAATTCTCAAAATTAAAGAAAGAGTTTTTGGTTAGTTGGACTCGAACCTATTGGTTGCCTACGTACCCGAGTAGTCGGGATCAAAGTCCACGTAGTTCGATAAAATTGAAACGTCTTGAAATATGAAATTTAACACATTCTATTGATTGTATTAATGTTTGAGATTGAGTTTTTTTTTGGAAAGGGTTTTGATATCTTGCTTTAACAACCGATTTATTGATAATTGTTAAAGAGTTTGACTAACGAAACCACGGTCTATTGACCATAGTTTCGTATTAAGGACTCTTAGGGGAAAATATGTAAACAAGCAAAGATGACTTTCAAAAGTTGATAATTCCAATGGGAGTTGAGCATCATAACATTTTTCAAGAGATAGGTTTTTGGTATTAACCTAGCGGAGGATCGTATAACATTCGATTCGATTTACGTATTAAGGTAGTTTGAGATTAAAAATAAAACAGTTTATTCTTGAAGCAATTGTCAGTCGTCCAGCTTAGTGGTAATATGTCTGGAATGTGGAATATATTTTGACTGTTAGGTCAAAAGTTCGAAACTCAACAAGTTCACATTTTTTAGCTCGTTTTTCAACAGAAGGAAGGTGGCAGCAGGTAATTTAATGGAAATTAGAGGGGTATTTTAGTCATTTCTGAATCCGGGTTTGAACACCCTCTCAGCACAGAGCCGAACCCTAGCCCCCAAAGGTAGCCGCTCACACTCGCTTCTCTCTCTCTCGTTCTTTTCTTCTCGTTTTCTCTGGAACACAAACAAAACAGAGAAACAAAAACAAACCAACCCAATCACCCCATTCTTGTTTTCTTCTCACGACGAACAAAATGAAAACCCTAGCCTTCCTTTCTAAAAACGACGCTCTCTTTCTCCATCTCGATCCACCTCCCTCCTTCTCTCGCCCTCCATAACGATGAGATGGAAGTGACCCCTTCCTCACCGACGAAGGCGACGGCGGCAGCAAGATCGGCGAGGTTTGGCGACAAAGATATTTACGACATTGACTCTGACGGCCAGAGGTAAAGTACCTGACCATTGCATGTCGATTTTTAGGGTTTTGTTTGGGATTTTCGGTGATTTTTTAGGTTCTGACCTCTCTCTGTGTTTCGATTTCTGGTGGGTTTTGAGTTCAATTCGGTATCTGATTTTTTTGTTTTTGGGTTCTTGGTGTAAGTTGCAGGCAAGAAGTGGAAAGATGGTAGTCTCCGGCGGTGGAAATGAAGCAGCTTCCGACCGGCGACGAGGAGGGATCAACTTCCAACAGGAAGTTTCAGGTGGGTTTTTGGCCTGCAACTCGAGTTTGGGGGTTCTTTTGGCGATTTCAATTTATTTGGTGATTCGATCTTTGTGGGTTTGGGGTTCTGACTGTGTTTTATTATCTCTGGGGTTTTGGTTCTGGTTTTGGTCGAAGGAAATGTAAGAAAGGGATTCGCCGGTGCCATTTTAGGATCTCGCCGGCGACGAAAATGACGACGGCATGGTGGTGTCCCTGCGGTAAGTTTTTTAGGTTTTACTGAATTTTGTTTGGCTTTAGATTCTGGGTTTGGATTTCTGATTTGCTTCTTTTTGGGTTTTGATTTTATGGCCTCGGAAGCTATAGGAAAAGGCGAGTACCGAGACTGCACCGCCGCCGAGGACAGTAGCGCCGGTGATGGGATGAGGTAAGGGCTCGTTTTATGCCTTTGATTTTGACTCTACTTGAAGGGTTCTGACTTCTATACTAAATTGATGTGGGTAGGAGTTCTCAAGGTTGGAAATGAATGCTATTGTGCATTAGAAAATGATGTTTGGTATGTTCTTTAGCTATTATTTTGGTATGCTGAGTTTTAATGTTTGATTGTTTTAGGTTTATGATTTGAAAACCCAGATTTGTGTTAAAATGACAATAGTTCTTAAACTTGATAGCTACCTGAAGTCACTACTATTGCATGAGATCCTTAGGAGCTTTGTGTCATTTCTCATGAATGATTTCGATTCTTACTATGTTGGGCTGATGTAGGTATAAACTTTGGGATTGATTAAGTTGTCAAATTAGTGGTTTTTATGATGTATGTAAATCTGCAATCTTTGTGCTCGTGGTGCTTGAATCTGGGAGTCTGTTTTGTGGTGTTCATAATAATTTTTGGAATTGTGAAGTTTATGGCTTGAAGAATCAGATGGAAATTTTGTGTTTATAACTGGAATTTTGTGCGAATACGGTATCTTTCAAATATGAGATTTCTATAAGTTTATTGTAGCTTATGTGTTTTGATGTTAGCTTAGTTGTATATGTGGTGGAAAGCTAAGTAAAACTACTAAAACGAAACACATATAGGAAACGTGTAGCTTCTAACATGTGATATGATTGATCAATGGAAATACTGATAAGTGGAAACAATGAAGTAGATGACAAAAGCTAATATAGGTATATAAAGAACTATAATGAACTTGTAAAGAAAGCAAGCAAAAATCCGATTTGTTTGTTTATTTTGTTATCATGGTGGTGAGATTAACCATCTTGTAATTTGGTTGGAGTTAATTTTAGCTAGATTGCTTTTAGAGATCTAAGTCGACTTGTACTGCTTGGATTAAGCATTATATGGATACTGGATGATGATTTATGATTTTTAGTGACTACCAACCTTTTTGACCTTTTTTGTTGTTTGGGTGATGATTCTGCCTCTCCTTGATTCTCTGAGCTTCTTTGTCCGCTACCTCCTTTGTGCTTTTGCTGATGTTGGCGGCAGGGGAGGATGTTTGTGGTGAGGTTTTTTGTTGTCCTTTTTGGATCTCTTTTTGGCTTCTGTTTGTGTGTGTGGTGTATCGGCTAAGAGTAGAAGGAAGTAGAATGAGGTGGTCTTATTGCTATCTCTTTTCCTTGTGTATATTTTGTGTGTTGCTAAAAGAAAGAAGAAGAAATGAGTGGAAGTGGGATTTTTGCAGAGTTTTATGCTCTCTGTTCTGCTCTGTTTATGCTGGGGTTAAGTGGGTGTCCCTGTTTCTGTAGAGTTTTGTTAAGAAGAAGTTGTCTGTCTATGGTGGGCTTGTGGCTGGAAAAAGAAGGTGAAAGAAGTAGAAGAGGGTTTCAGGCTGTGGCTGTGTGTTTTGGAAGGGAAGGAGTTTGGGAGTGATCAAGAGATGAAGAAAGAAGGGAGTGGTTTTTACAGAATTTTCGTTATCTTGTCTTTTGATCAGAAAAGAAAAAGTAGAAGGAAGAAGAAGGTGTCAGGTAAAGGAAGAGAGCCAGGGGAGTTTTTCTTGTTGTCTGTGTGTTCCTCTTTTGTTTGGAATTTTGAGGAAGAAGTAGCCGATCAGCAGAAGGAAGTGACAGAGAAGAAAATGTTCAGGGAATGTTTTTTTTGTTCTCCCCTTTTTCCAGAGCTAAAGAGCTCTTTTTATAGCCAAAAATAAGATGTGTTGGCGCAATGTAATTGGATTTGAGAGGTTATAGGGGCCGCCCTCTATGTTTGTGTAGCTTATGGATTGGGTTGGACCGGTTTGGGTATGTGAAGTGTGCTTAACCAGTTTGGGTTGGGCTGACATGGGCATGATTGGTGAATTGAGGTTTTTGGGCTTTTGTATGGACTGACCCGTTGACTGGCATTGACCAGAGTTGACTGGGCTTTGACTTGGATCATTTTATTTTTGTAGTTGTAATTAGTTGTTATGTAATATAATTGTATTAGTAGTTTTTATTTAGTAATGTGATTGTATTTAACGTAATTGTAACTTATTTTAGTGAGATGTTATTTCTATTCCTAATTCTTCTTTTCTTTTATCTATTGAAACCAAAGTTGTAACTTATTTTAGTGAGATGTTATTTCTATTCCTAATTCTTCTTTTCTTTTATCTATTGAAACCAAAGTCCAATCTCATAAGATCCAATGTTTTAAAAGCCAATTATACAATCAATTTGTGACCAAAACTAAGTGAATGTTAATTCATCTAATCAAAGCGTGTCATCCTTATCAAATTGTACCAATTAAGATTAGCTATTGCCACTCTCTATCGCTACTCTCATTGATCCACATTGTACTGATGAGCTATGGCCAACAAGACTCCTCACTATAAACACTACAAATACATTTTTAGTTAAAAGATCATTTAAGATTTGCTATTGCCAACCTTAAACAAAAATTAAATTTTACTTAATTAGATACGTTTTACCCGGACAAAATGTGGTGTCTACAGTTGCCCCCCTTTGTATATCTCTTGAATATCAAGAGGTAAACAAAGTTATCATAGCACACTATTTTTGGCCGATTTACTTATAGAGTTGTGATTATCAAAAGTTTGGTTTACTCACCAACTTTCTTAATGTTTAATGAGAATTGAGGTTGTTGGCTAGCTTCCATGCCGTGTAGCCATCTTTGGCAGTGTAGCCGAGATGAAGGTGTCAATTAGTTTCTTACGCAGTGTAGCCTTCTAGTGGGTCTTGATTAGCTCCCTCGCAGCGTATCCTTCTGGTGGGTCCTAATTAGCTTCCTCGCAGTGTAGCCTTCTTATGGGTGCTAAATGGTTTCACTCGCAATGTAGATTTCTTATGGGTTCTGATTAGCTCCCTCGCAGTGTAGCCTTCTTATGGGTGCTAATTGGTTTCCCTCGCAGTGTAGCCTTCTTCGCAGTGTAGCCTTCTTATGGATCATGATTAGTTCCCTCGCAGTGTAGCCTTCTTGTGGGTGCTAATTGGTTTCCCTCGCAGTGTAGCCTTCTAGTGGGTTCTGATTAACTCCCTGGCAGTGTAGCCTTCTTGTGGGTGTTAGTTGATTTCCCTCGCAATGTAGCTTTCTTCGCAGTGTATCCTTCTTATGGGTCCTGATTAGCTCCCTTGCAGTGTAGCCTACTGTGGGTGCTAATGGGTTTCCCTGGCAATGTAGCTTTCTTTGCGGTGTAGCCTTCTTCGCAGTGTAGCCTTCTTGTGTTTGAGGATATGCAGAGTTTTTTTAAAACCTTAATCACAGGTGACATGGAGTTGTATGTTTGATAGGAAACGTTAAAGCAACCAATTGAGAAATTCTAGACGAAATTCAGATAGGTCTAGAACTTGAACTTGCAAAATTTGTATGTGATGTCAAATGTTAATGATTATATGATATGATGCAATATCATGGTGAGATATGTCAATGAAAATGTTCTTTCACTTTAAGTAAAGTTTGAAAATTATTGATGTTTACTTTAGCTATGAATTTCTTGATCTACCTAATGAATGATGTCATATGATTAGTTTGAAGTGCATTAGGAAATTATGCCATATGATGTATGTGAAGTGCATTTGAGAAAGGTTGTATGATGAGTCATATTATCATGTCTTGAAGGGTATGCAAAGGAAAGAGCATAATCCCTAATCATGGTCTTATTGTTTTGGATTCTCTTAAATCGATCGTCCACAAGGAAACTATGTCATTCCCCTTTAGTAACTTGATTCTCAGCGGTGCTCACGCTGGAGTAGCATGGATGTCGTCGATGGTCACTTTCTTCCTTCTTCACCTTGGACACTGGTGTTTGAGTGGCTTATGTGTTTTCCAAATGATCTTCTTGTTCATGTGCTTGTTAGGTTGATTCTGTAGGAGGTTTTTGTATCATGGTGGCCTTGAGATAATGTGCTTTTTTAGCTTAATTTATCTTCTTACTATGTGAGCATGTCGTGTTTGGCTAAGAAGAATTTGTCAATTCAGGGTATTGTCTTGTTGATGTCGGTTTTCTAGACATGCTGGATTTGACTCCACCGAGAGGTATGCGATACAAAACTCTTCGTTGAAGAATAGTTTGATTGACTGGTTGGGTAGCTTGAACAGAATGATTCAAGATCTCTGAGATTTCCCGTTTACTCATGATTTGATGAGTTGGGAGATCCACTTTCTTCTTTCTTATTGGGTAGCACTAGTTTGCCCCCGAGAATATATCATTTGCCTTCGGTTTTCGGAACAAAGTGTGACTTTCACCAATCTTGACTTAAGATGAATGCAAATAAAGTTTGAAAAATCTTGGTTGAAAAAGCATATTGGGAACCTGATTTTAGAAATCTAAGCCTCGCTCATATGAGAAAAATGATTTCTTGTGTGTTTATTGCCAGATTGTTTAAACATTTACTTTTTTAGGAGCCAAACCATGAGAATATCCATAAGCCCTTACTTCGCTCTCAGTCTGATGCTTAATTTCACTCACACTCATTCCTATGGGTGCTTTGAGTTTACGATACTTTGGCTACTATAAAGACTCTTGTCACCAAATTGATGAAAAAAGATGTGCTCAAGGTATAGGTTTGTTGATCATGGACAATTCGTGTAATCTCTATATGGTCTTGTCGTAGGTTTTCTTGAACTTTCCATAAATGAGGCTCTTTTATGATATCGGTTCCAATCATAGGAGTTTTCATGTTTTGGGAAGTTTACTTTCCCCGGATGAGAGGCGGGTAAAGGAAATTTATATGAAATTTGACTTTGATCATGTGAAACTTTGTGTTTGGGGGACATTTGGCTTGCCCCGAGGGTATGAGACGAGTTGATGGATAGAGGGGATCTTTGTCGAGGAAGTTTTATTTTCTTCGAGAATGGTAGTTCATCTTGGGTACATTTTGAATCACGTTGCCTACCCGTCTTGAAATTTTGGTTTTGAGGTGTAAGCTCGAGTGGCGAAGTAACTGAGTTCATTTGAGTATAAACTCCATTTTTGAATTCCTCTCGCTTATAGAGGTCTCAGTTTGATCTTGAAAGGATGGATAAAGGAGGTCTAGGTATAATGCAGGCTCTGACTTTTGTGTGGCAGGCATGGCTGCTGAAGTCTTCATCATGGGGTTCTTGCTCTACTTGAAAATGTTGGATAATAGGGACCATCGTGGGATATACTTTAGCATATATCGATCTTCTCATCTTGGTAATCCTTCTCATTGGGTTCTCTTGGGTTATTTCTTCATACTAGGTAGGCAGGTATATTTGGTTTAGAAAGTCGGCTCAATTGGTGGCTAGCCTACTTGGTGCATAGATTTTGCTGGTTGAGAAAATGGCCATACATTGTGCTCTTGTGACTACATTGAAGCTCAAACTAAAATGATCTTTTTGGTCCTATGGTATATAGACCATACTCAGGGGTATCTAAATAGTAACAACAGTTTTCTTTTTTCTTTTCTTCTTCTTGCCTTATTGGCTTTTTTACTCTTTTTTATGTGGGACCTACTTAAACTTTTTATGCCCACATACATGTGGTCATTTTTTACTTTTCAGATTTTGGTACACGAGCATCGAATGTTATGAATTTTGTGATCGTGTTGATCTTTGTGAGCAGTCCTTTTTGTTGGCTAGGCGAATTGTTCGTTCCCTTCTCGAAGAAGAAAGATCACTGATGTCGAGTCTTTATTGTGTTGTTTGAGTAGTTTTTCCGCTCAAGCATTGGACTTTGAAGCATGGAACATTTTGTGCTTATTCCTCAACCGATTGTGTGGGTTTTATGCGTGCCTTAACCTTCTAACAATGAGGGTTTCATGAGAACATGGCTATTACGATGTAGACATCTTGCTTGTTATGGATAATAGTTCGACTACTCGAGCTTGTATCTAGTTGTGTCCTACTTTGGTAGAGATTGGTTATGGTAGTGACAAGCTTCTACAAGTAGCCTGGTATCGTATCTTCGTTACACCCTTTGACTATTTAGCTCGCATTTTTATGGACACCAGCGGGGTGTTTATACTCTCAGTTTAGTAAACTGAGCAGACTCTAAACATTAGCGAAGCGCTCAAATTCATTACACCAATAGGGTGTTTATAATCACTCTGCACCAGTGGGGTGTTCAAACTCTCAATATCAGTAGGGCGTGCACAGTTTGATTATTAGCGGGGCGCAAAATTTTTACACTGAAGGAGTGTTTATAATCACTCGACACCAGTGGGGTGCTTATGGTTGCTTAATATGAACATCTCATGGCTTAACTTGAAAATATGAAATGCATTTTAAGGATCCCATATTTAGAGAAGAAAAGTTGATTTTAAAGATTTGGAAAAGATGTTTATCATTTGGTAAAGAGAAGGATCAATGATGCAAACTTCTAAATCAAGATCGGTAATAGTCACACAATATTCCAAATCGGTGGAAATGCAAATGACATTTTATTCTTGAATATGAAAGCCAAGATTGATACA